TAAATTAACAGTTTAGTTTATAATAACTGCTGGCATATGTATAACGTAGCGTAACATGTGTTAAAAGGAAGAAGTTAAAAATATTGAAAAAAACGAATGTGACATCATTTATGGATGGCCCTTTATTTTAAGTTAACTTAAGAGCATTAAACTTGAATTTTACATTCAAAACAACAAACGTTTACTCGCTGATGTCAATTTTAATTCACTCAAAAGACAAGGTAACTACCAAGTATAATATTATTTCAGAAAAAAAGTCTACCACGGTATAGTTTTTTTTAATTAAATTACATGGATCTACAGCTATATTAAGTTCGGTGAAAAATCGGCGGTTAATTTGAAATAAATGGGCCTTCTAGTACTGCGAAATTTATGAGATAAAAATTGGCAAAAACAAAACATTATGTGATAGACAAGGTATCTTCAGTAGAAGGGTTGGAAGCAGTGCATTTGGTTTTTTGGTTTTTTTTAAATTTGGTTTTTTGAGCAGATTACAGCAAATAAATTTGATTTCTTCTTTGAGCAGATTGGAGCAAATAAATGTATGTGGATTTTTGAGCAGTTTGCAGCAAATGAATTTGATTTCTTCGAGCAGATCGGAGCAAATGAATTTGGTTTCTTTAAGCAGATGGAGCAAATAAATTTGGTTTCTTGGAGCATATTGGAGCAAGTAAATTTGGTTTTTTGAGCAGATGGAGCAAATAAATTTGATTTCCTTGAGCAGATTTGAGCAAATAAATTTGATTTCTTCGAAGAGATAAATTTGGATTTTTGAGCAGATTGCAGCAAATAAATTTGGTTTCGTTGAGCAAATTAGAGCAAATAAATTTGGTTTCTTTGAGCAGATTGGAGCAAATAAATTTGCTTTTTTTAAGCAGATTGGAGCAAATAAATTTGGTTTTTTGAGCAGATTGGAGCAAATAAATTTGGTATTTTGAGCAGATTAAAGCAAATAAACTTGGTATTTTGAGCAGATTAAAGCAAATCAATATAATCAAAGCAAGAACATGTTTTAAGGGATTACATAAATTTTGGAGAGAGTCAAATATTGAAATAAAGACAAAAATAGTTGTTTACAAAGCTATTGTTAGAGCAGTACTATTATATGGCGCAGAAACCTGGAAACAGACTAAGATCGAAATACAAAAATTAGAAACCTTTCAAAACAAATGTTTAAGATTTATTTTTAAAATTTTCTGGCCTTACAAAGTATCAAATCAAAATCTATTAAAGAAAGCTAAAATAAAAACAATCGAAGATGAAATTAAAAAACGAAGATGGAGCTGGCTCGGACATATCCTTAGAATGCCCAAAGAAAAAATTTCATCTGTTGCGCTTACATGGGCCCCTGATGGTAAGAGAACAAGAGGAAGACCCAGACTTACCATCCAGCGCATGTTTTTGGGCGAATTAAAAGAATGTGG